TTTTATTCTATGAGTTATTAGCTGCTGAATTATAAGACAATTTCGTTGTATACAGTAATTTCTTGTAGTATGTAAATTAGGAGGCGATTTCCCCCATTTCGGTGGATCCTGTTGAAACCGCTAGTGGTTAGGAATCGCATTGATTATTATGGTACTAGTTCACGACGTAACTCAAAAGTGCAAACCGATTCAAAATTATGATATGCAGTCTCATTAATTCATGGAGAACGTTGTTCTATCGTAAGGTGATTTGATCTGGATTGAAACCTAAAAACGGAGAATTCTAGAAAAAAAAGGCGAGAAAGCATCCGAGATCTTCGTTGTACGATGGGCTCCTTCAAAATGCAAATGCTGTGCTTTAAAAGTACAACCACGGAACTCATTTTTGTGGCTTGTCTTTGCCAAGCATTGTAAAAGATTTGAGAAAATTTTCTTTAAAATTTGCGCCTTCTGAGTTCTGGCTCAGATGTTAACTTCCTTACGGTACAGTTTTGCTATTTGCTACATGGTGAAGTGAGTGACCATGTTTTTCAAGTTCATCAGTGGACAATTTTCCAAGTTGGAGAGGCTGTAATTTGCCTATTATCGAAAAAGAAAAAAAACTGTAATATTCACTTTTTGGCAGTTCAAGATCATCCAAAAAATCGGACACCAATCAAAAAATAATCGTTACACCAGTGGTTAATTTTAGTTTTCTTCCCCAATTGGCAGGGTCATGAAATACTGTAATAGGAGGAAATCTTGTGATTAGCAAAAAGGCAACAATCAAAAGAACCCTTTAAATGATACGATTTTTGCAAAACTCCTGTAGGCAAAACTGGATACTGCGTGCGAAAAAATGAGAAGGCTAGATTGACACGTAGAAATTGGATGTTTGGCATTTTTTCATCCCATTTGAAGGAAGGTATCAGCATATTTAGACACGCCTGTGATTTTTTTCAAGTTGGGATCTCAATTGCCAGTTGCAAGGGGTCGTTTTTTGAACTCCTGATGATCTATAGTAATGTATTTTAAAGTACTTTTTCTCAGAATTCGCTAACAAACTCATGTTTTGCATCAAAACGCAGAACTGTTGCTAAAGATTTTCAAACTCGTCAGTTCCGAGCAAAAATTGTCTTGATCTGCGAAATTGCGATTGATTCCCTGTGGTAATTTCAGTGGTTCGATTACGATGTTTTGCGAGCAAGTGATGATTCAGCAAACCTTCGATAATTTTCCTCCCTCACTTTGATGTGCCTTGAACATTACTTTGATCATGAAAACTTCGATGTATTTTCACTCCTCAAACGAAGATGCGAAAATATCAAAGGCTGAACACGGTTGACCACTCATGCAGGTCTTTTTTAAATTTCACTTTAGCGCCTTACGTTAACCAATTTAGTTTCAAGTTCGAACCGTGGTCTGATTATTGAGTGGAGTTGAGGGGAAAAAAATGGACGAGATAATGTCAGCGTTCAACATACCCAAGAAACGAAACCCCCCTAAGGGTCTTTTCCCGGAGCAACGAAGTTTCGACGTTGACCTCGGAAATACGCTGGTGGGCCACGTGTACCAGTGGGCCAAGACCAAGGTGACGGGATTGGGCTGGCGTAAGAACAGCGTGCTTCCCTCACTGCCAGACGCCTTCCGACGTTGACAGCTTTTCCTTGCCTCAGCTCTGGTTCCCTTTGCCAAAAATTGCCCTGGTCCTATTTTATATACTGTGAGTGTGTTTGTGTGTAAGTGTTTAAAAAAAAAAAAAAGGAAATTTATCGATCGCATTTTCTCTCTTCGATGTTAAGTGGAAAGTGAAAGTTCATTGAGGAATGGAAGAGTCTTCCTTCGGTATTCTTGTTGATATATATATATATATATTTTTTTTTTTTTTTCTGCGCGGATGTGATTACTGCGGGTTCTTGGGTCCACGTGTTGCTTGGCTCGAGTTTTCGTGAGATGTGTGAATCGGATTCTGGATGGCTTAGTTTCTCGAATTCGGAAAGACTTTTTTTGTGAAGAATTTTTCTGCATTATTATTAATGTTGATATAAAAAAAAATATAAAAAAAACTGGACCGATTTGCGCTGCATTTTTCGAACGAAGCAAGGCAAAGCTTTACGAGAGGCGTCCAATTTCTACCTTCTCATTTTTTCGCGTGTAGTTTTCAGTTTTTCCTAAAGTAGTTTTGCAAAAATCGTATCAATCGAAAGGGTATTTTGATTGTTGCCTTTTTGCTAATCACAAGATTTCCTCCTATTATTTCATGACCCTGCCAATTGGGGAAGAACACAAAAATTAACCACTGGTACAGCGATTATTTTTTGATTGATGTCTGATTTTTTGGATGATCTCGAACTGCCAAAAAGTTGCATTGCCACAGGATGCTTCATAATTAACCCGAACTTCTGCGAGTCCGCTGAATCAGAGAATTTGGTTTCATTTTGGCGCATTTTTTTCTTGGAGACCTTGTAGAAATTGAATCTTGAAATGACTTGACAATTGCGGGTCAATTCATTTTTCAAGAATCTTCAGCGCTGGGACTGTTGATTTGTTGAACTCGTTAAAGGAAACTGGATGCATAGAAGAATCTCTGTGCGGTAAATCTTGTGACGAATTCATGAGTACTATGGATTTTCCCCCCTTTCCTACAACCACAATGTTATTTTACTTTATTTTCCACGAATTTTCGTTTATAACGAAGGATTTTAAGGGACCAATCGCTTCTTTGTGACGAGATCGCACTGTACACCATTGGTGTTTCATTCCTTCTTTCATAATGCTTCGTATCTTAACGATTTATTTGAAAATTTTAAAGAATCATGACGGCCGAGAATCAATCCGAAAAATCATTTTTAATTGCCTGGTACTGTATTTCAATCCTCAGTTCAATGCCTTACTTTCAGATACATGATTGCAGTAAAACTGATCAATTTATCGCTGTTCTGGCGATAATTTCCTTTTTTTATCACATCGTCCTGGGTATCTTATTGTACATGCCTCGTGTATTGTTCACGATTTCTGGAACAAATCGTGATGGCGCAATAAATGTTTAGACCTGCTTCCTTTATTGCTTATTTACGAACATTTCCTTCTCGGATAGATTTTTTAGGCCTCCCATTAAATTCTCGAAGTACTGCATTACTGTTTAATCCCGCGAAAACTACTTATTAAACAACCTCGAACGATGTTTTCATTTTGTGGTTTTAGGCCGAGGGTTTAGATTTTTTGGAAAAAAAAAATTAAAGGGATTGCTGAATTATGATTCGGGGTTTCTTTGATTCGGATCTGCGAAAGAAAGAACATTTTTGCACTAAGGTTCGAATTCTTAGAATGTGATGAAGAAGTGCCAAAATTACCTTGCTCCCATTTCCTCGTCTCAGTTGCGAGGTAATTATGCTAATAGTCTTGTTTTGGTGGGTTAATCGCTCCAGTTCGCGACGTGACTTTCTCTCAGAAAGTACAGTACAGTACCCGAAAGGATCATGTGTTCTTAATGAATATTCTACGTGTTAGAAGTTCAACAGAAATGTAAAAAACGGAGGAGCTGTGAACAGAGAGGTTCTTTGTTGAGAAATGTCTTTCACAGAGGTGGGGAGGAAAAAAAGGTACACGTCGTTTATCGTCGTTGGTGAGGGTTATTTTCGCTCGGGACGTTTGTTTTAGCCGCGCAGTTTTGTGCCATTGTTGTTGCAGCGAAGTGCTGATCCGAACAGGTTATTGCGCAGAAATGTTCTCTCTGTTTTTTTTTTGCTGAGTTCTCAAGGTCTCCTCTATGATGGCTTATCATAGAATAGCTGTTTCAGCGTCACGTTCGAAGGGAATGAGCTCGACGCGGAATAGGTTTACTGAGACGTAACTTTCTTCCATATGAAGTTTCATGAGCTCTGGGGTTTCGTTAAGTTCCCTGCGATTCAGATTTCTTTTTCGGGATTCTCTTCACTGCGTTGAATCACTTCTGGTGAAAATGGATTCCGTCGGATATTATGATCCGAGTGAAAAAGTTGTCTAGTCTCAGGACACTTTGCCTAAATGTGAACTTAAGCACCGTTAAGTTATGCCCTGTATAAGACCAAAACAAGAGCTTCACATTGTGGGATACGTATACAGTGGAAACTCGTTGCAACGAAGCTGTTGGGACTAGGAAAAGCATTTCGTTGAAGGAATAAATTCGTTGCAAAGTAATTTGAATAAAATTGTCAATATTGAGCATATATGCGCAGGAAAAACTATTTTGCCACTTTTCGTCTTCATTCTGCAATACAGCGATTTGAATACAATTTTTAATATACAGCAGGGGGTTGAAAATGAATTCATTTTAACCAGTAATCCGTTATAACGAGATTGGCACTTATTGTCTTCATTGTAAAGCTATATGTATAAAAAGTTTGCAATTGAACGGGGACCTGATAAATGAATTTGTCATAACCAATAATTCGTTGTAACGAGCTTCTTTGTAACGAGATTCTATTGTGTTTTCTGGAAGGAAGCAGGAAATTGATTCATGAAAATTATAATTAGATGGTCAATGCGGTCCTCAACACAACATAATTTAATTCACTTTTTTAGCCTGTCGAAGACAAGATCTTTGGTCCACTTCTTTTATTGTGACACACTAAATGCTAAGAAGCTGAATTTTTATCGAAAGAAAATTCTGTCAGCTCCTCGAAATTCGAAGTGCACAAAATGTAGCAGTTTTGACGACGTCTAAAAAATCCTGCAGTACATCAGTATAAATAAGGTAAAGGGTGAATTTTGAAGAGTTATTAGCCTTCGAATAGGAAATGTATTTTCAGAGGAAATGGGACACCAACAAAAGAAAAAAAATACGACCTGTATCTTGTGATCACCGATAAAATGCTTCGACGGGGAAGGAAGAACTTTTGGAAATTTTTCGGACGAGGATGTTGGCGCCAGGGAAATGGGAGGAAGTTGTGACGTTCTCAGGACAACGATTATTGCCTGTCTAAATTTCCCCAAGAAATGATGATATCCCCAGGAAGAAAAAAAAACTTGCCTTTTCGCTTCTTGTCTTTGTTTATTTCAGTAGGAGAAAAATCACAGAGATTTTTCCTGAGAAGACCCGGACATTTATCCTTCTTAATCTTCGCGTTGGATTTTCGAAGCACTGTTTCTCTTCCGTCCTTTTTGGCTGTCCTGTCTTCGTTTTACACAAATGCTGTTTGATGCACATTTTAAAACACGGGAAGATTCACTCATCTGCAGGACGACTGTATTATTGCGTGAATCACGGTATGAGAAATGCTGAACCCACTGGACGACGAAGTCCTGTTTATTTCTTTTAGCGCTTTTCAGAGCAAACCTTGATTTACGAGTAGATGTCATATTTTTAAAGGGGAAATTGCTTTAAAAAATAGCTGTGATTTCAGCTGCAAATTTTTGCGCCGAGCACGCGAAATCCTCGACGTTGTTTCCCGAGGTCGAGGTCAAATGATCTGTTCTGTGCAAAACTGCGTCGTAATTTCTCTTGCCAATGCGTCATTCGGTCTTTTTAAGCGTGGACTATTCGAGTCTGCATAACCACGCTGCTTTTAATTTATTGCTCATTCCGCTAATGCGGGACTTACATTGTTGTTATTTTTATAGTGATACTTATCCAAGTGCTTGACCTTGTTTGCTGCGTTACTTTCTTTTTCCTTCAACGCCGTGAGCGAGAACTGGTCAGGGTCGACAGTTTTTTTTTTTTTTTTTCCTTGTAGGATCGAATTTTAAAGGTTCTCAGGCGTTCAGAACTTTGTTTAAAGTTTCTTTCGTACGAATGCTTTCGGAACAGGAGGCAAAAGCATTCAGCAGGTGTTGCTTTGAATTCGCGTCGCTTATTTTAGCGGAACATCTGTGCATGTGAAAGACATTTTAAAGGATGATGATTATTTCGAATTATTTTGTGGAGGATTCAGCAGAGGAGCTCGGCAATGACGGCTATTGCACCTTTAAATCGGTGAGAAAAATTTTGTATTTAGTTTTTTATATTTATTTTTTGTTGGAGTCCGGCTTAAACGAGGTCTGACGGGATTTTTAATGCAAAAGCTGCCTTGATTTCCTGCCCCGGATTTGATTCCCGTTTCGATTTTGTTCAGCTCCAGAAAATTCATCAATTGTTTGAATGCATGATACTTTTCTGAGCCAGGAGAAAAATTTTAATGCTTGATCCTCCGAAATCTGATGAGTTTAATTTCAAAGTAAAAAAAAACTTTGAAATTGAAGCGAATTCAATTAAATAATATCTGGTTTCTATAATTCAGTAAAGAAGCTTTTGCGAATAATATCCTATATTATATAGGATAATTTCATAAAATTGTTAACGTACCTGCAAGCACATTTAATAACTCTTACAATATAAAAAAATGCCGCGAAATTTCACAATTTCCTGGTAGAAACGTACCCCCAGTTCAGCATCGTTTGTTTCAAGCCTGCTTGAAAACTGTAAACACATTTCAAAGGAATTTTTACGATTTTGTGAACCGAACGAATTTGTCGGAGGTACAGTATTTTCAATTTCGCGAGACCTTGAGCTGTTGTCGAAGAAAAAACACGCTTTTTTCTCGTTAAATAATTTATTGATCACCCAAGAAAATGAATTAGTTCAGGGAAAAAATCAAGCAAAATGCATCTTCACAAACTGCTCGTAGAAATGCGACGAGGAATTCAATGTCGTCGTCACCAAGCGTCCTTTTTCAAGAGCCTTTTCGAGAGGATCGTTGAGAAATTTGGAGAAAATGTCTGATATCGATGTATTATCCAGAATATTTACAAATTTTTACTTCGCAGGATTTAAGCAAGTCGTGTAAAATCACGCGAAACTAGACCAAACTTCGTACAATAAACTCCAACTCTCGCATGCAGTTAGCTATTGAAAAAACACGATGCAATTTCCTCCGCGAGAATATATTAATCAAATCTATGATAAAAAATATCTGCAATTTAAACTCATGCAATCGGTAACTTCATTGCAGCGAAATTCGGAAAGGCGATTTGAGAATTCCACAATTTAATAATACTATTTAGAAGGCAAATTACTGTAGTATGAGAGTTTCAATCCTTGTATTGTATTCTGGTTCACCCAGGAGAGTTCATCTCATTTCTATCAGATACAGAACAATGTATTCTAATAATATACTAAATTTTGTTATCTTATAGAAAAAAAGTGTTCACTATATCCACGAAAATGAGAAACAGCATAAAATGATGAGATGTAATGCCTAGATTCTGTTTATACGGTATCCAATAGTGAAAGAAAAAAATATTGATGCTGGGGAAGAAAACCGAGCTCGCAATTTTACGCGAAGGGATGATGTGTTTCTGTGGTTAGTTTTTTGCACCACTTGTGATGGGCAGTATGTATGTATTATACTGTATATATTTTTTTTGCTGGTGCACGTATTTTTTGCTGGTGCACGTATTTTTTGCAATTCTTTCCCGTGTCAAGAAAAGCATCCATCTCTTGAAAGAAACGTCGCCTCGACGACATTCGATTTTCCGGCCGTGAAAATTCCCTGCGCTGCTCTGTGCGAAAAGCAAATCTTCCTTGCGACGGAATGTTGAAGAACGGACTTCCGAGCACGAATTGGCGAGAGGAGAAAAAAAATTGGCATGTTTCGGTTTTTCTCTTAGCCTTCGAATTTTGAAACATCCTTGAAGTGAAGCAGAAAAATAAAATGAGCTAGAGATTTTTTATGAAATTGGAGCGCAGCGAAATGCCGACGGATATTTTTTCGTCGCCGCCGCCGACTCGTTGGTTGGATAATTGTTTCTCTTTTTTTTTTCTTCTTCTTCACCGCCGCCGCTTCCCGACTCACGAAACAGAAACTTGATAACGTTGGAATAAAGTGAGTTTTTTTTTTGCGACTGCTAAGAGAGGCGGATAGGAAGAAAGAGGGAGGGGAATATTTGCAGAATAATTTTTTTTTTGCATTTCTGCGTCGCCGTTGGAAGGACTTTATTCCGATATCGTACCGGCTTTGTCGGTGTCGAGTTCCCGCTGAACCCTGATGAAATCTGTTGCGGGGAAATGTTTTCCTTGCAGCGGCGCGAAATCCTTGGGATCTGCCCTCGGGTCGCAGTTGATGTAACGGTTTTGCAAAATCAATCCGAAAAAATAATTATTTTTTTTTTTTCGTTGCGTAAATACTTTGTGTAAGCTCTGTACAGCCGTGAGAGGAGATGAAACGTGAAGCAATTGGCACATGCGAAAGTGTTGAAACTCAAAACCTTCACCTTTTCTTTCCATGGGGCCGAGTACTTAAATTCCTTAGAATACCCACGCAATTTTCTGTCGACAGGCAATTTTTAATCCTGCAGAAACTGTTCATCCTTACAGTTCATTTAGCCAAAGAAAAATTTACATTTCACCGTCCGTACGTGAATATTTAGGGCATACTCTGATTTTCGTTATCTATTTAAAAATAACTTCGTATGACGTGAAATAAATGTGAATTTTGAGAGAAATTTATGTTTTCAAATTCGCTCAAAATCATTGTTGCATTGTGTCTCTGGACGTCAGACGAACAACACGTTCTAAAAGTTTACTTACCTTCGGAGTATCATTCAGATACTGTAGTTGTAATGTGAAGATGAATAATGCAGAACTTGAAATTTCATTCAGAAATTCAAGACTTCGATTAATCTGAAATTCCAGTTAGCGCATGAAAATATTAACTCGAATGACCGCCGAATTCAGGCGGAATCGCGATACGACTGCGATATAACTGTGCTTAAGTAATTTTCATTTGACAAATCTGAAATTTCGACATCATAATCCTTTTTCTGATGGCTCTTTCGAGTGAGTTGCAGTAATGGAAAAAATGATTAAAATTTCAAAAGGCTTCGGGGATTACTGTGCAGGAATTTTGCAGACATGACGGCTGGCTTCGCTTGACTTAATCTCCAGAACCTTTGGATTTATGCAATCCGTTGCGAAGTTTCGCGGTTCGTACCTTCACACTCCTTTGATTATAAAAAATTGAGTTTTCTTTTGTCTAGAAGATTAGATTCATTCATATTCGTAGCACCGTCAGCCCCTTGTATTGTACTGTATTGTTTTGTATTTGTTCAAGCGAGATTGTGAAAAATACAGCACTCCGGTGAAATTCGTGAACTGCTCATAAGGTATTGTCAACTTTATCTTTCCTCTTCCGGCCTGCGTTTCGGTTATTTTCCCACAACCGGGTATCGGAATATTTGTATCATTTGAAGTTTTATTTAATTTAAATGCTGCCCTGTACTTTGGTTTCAAGGAACGAATCTTTACAGATGCCGTTGACACAGTTTTAGGAAATCTGACGTGAATATCTGGTGATTCTTTGGGTAGATGTATTCCATTATTCTAATGTGACACCTGTCTCAAGCTTGAACAAGTTATTTCGAGTGCTCGGAATATTTGAAACTTATATATAGAACCAAACAAATGGAAATTTCCGAGAAACTGGGTGATCAAAAGCAGATTATGAACCCATATAGTACAGGTTTTTTGCTTTTTCTTAGCATGTTTTATGATTCACAATTTCTTCGTCCTCTGGTTGTTTCAGAAAATGGCCAGGAAACAGTAAGCTAAATTCATCAGGAAAAAAGATAGTACAGTTGGAAATAAGTTTTAATAGGTTTTGGATGTTTAAAGATTTTAGTTTTTCTTCCCTGGATTAAGTAAATGAGTTTCCTGTAAAATTTAGCTCACTACTTCATGGTCATTTTTTGAAACACTCAGAGAGACGAAGAAATTAGGGATCATAAACTATGCTAAGAAAAATTGAAAACCTTTACTACTGTATATTTGGCTCAAGTTATTATTGACGTAATTCAATTTATCAACTATGCAATACAACTGATTTTTGTTGGGAATGTTCGTTATTGTTTTAACTCCGTTTCCTTTCGTTCCGCGTTTGATCGATGTACTGTGCATTATTGAGCTTTGCTTTCTGCAATCGCTCGTTTTGGATATTCAGCGCGCCAAAACCTCTTTCTCTATACTGTACTTGGCTTCGAAGATTCATCATGGTTCGAAGTAACTGGTGATCATTCGATCACGTACACTTCTTTTATTGGTCCATGTGTTCGGCTTCTCCCGAAATTTTCAAGCATGAAAATCGGGCTTGAATGCGTGTCACGTCGGATGCGACACGTTTTACGTGCGGATCCCGACACGCTTTTGTGAGCGGAACGTGACTTTTGACACGACTCCGGGTTTCGAGTGGAAAAAATTTGAAATTTTTTTGCAAAGCCCCCTTTCTTCCCAGAAAATGAGGTGAAAATGGATTAGGAAATAGCCTTTCGCTGCGGGCAAGTTTGTTCTACGATATTTTTTATTTTTTTGCGGCTGCTGTGGATTTGATTTGGATCAAGTTTCAGAGTTGGGCATGGGTTCTTAAATTTCTGCGCTGGACCAGCCACGTGGCATGAGGGTTGCGTCATGCGAACTCGACGCCCACTTGCCCATCTCAAAGTCAGGATTGATTGAACTCTTCACCTTTTTCTTTCGACGGCCGGGGCGAGGCTGGGAAAATGGTTTGAGTCATGCTTCTGAGATTTCACCACTGTGCTGTGAAGACTTCTTTTTCATTTTATATTTAAACACCATTAACTCGAATATTTCTGCCGTGAGAATGAGTTATACATTGCCCATCCCATTTGTTCATGACGATTTTGAAATGGAATGTCACAGGAAGGTGTTTTTTTTTTCTAAGGAAGGAGCGCGGGTTCTGCGAAGTTCATTCGAACTTGTTTTGATTTTCAATCAATATACCTGTCACTAGAGTGGATTGCGTCAATCTACGGCAAAAAGCATAATTATTTTATAAGATTTTAAAGACATTTGCATATACTGTACTGTATTTTAGAGTAAATATCCGAAAGTCTCCGTGAATTCATTTCTACTCCTTATTCATTTTTGTGTCGAATATGGCAGCTGCTAAAAGACATCCAGTGAATGAGACTTTCAAGATCTGCATTTTCTCAAATAGAAGAGAAATTAGCTGACATGAATTATTTCGAAGGTCTTTTTGTTACGGTATCAAAAATCGCTGATGTGAGAGAGGGGTCCGATTCTGTTAGCTTACCTTGATTTTTGAATGAATAATTTTAAAACTGTACTGTATTTTAATTCAGATCGAAGAAAGAAGCAGATGACGAGAATTCCGCGAAAGTTCGTGTCTAGATTGAGCAAATTTCAAGAGAAAGAAAATCTTCAGTTTCACCTAATTCACTGCGAAAAAGAACAAAGAATACGGATGACCGAACGCTACCGACTTTGACGATTTAAAGCCCTTCGAGCAAACAATGATCTCAATTCTTAGAACTTGTGCTAAAATTGGAATACTGTAGTTAGTTGCTGCTGAGTCTTGCGGTTTCCTGCGAAGAAAAGCAGTTACTGTTACATATATGCGTATAAAATCTTACTTCTGTTGACACATTTTGTAGAACGATTCTTCAGATAAAAAGATCATAAAGAGTTTCAGAAGTAAATCTGAGCTTCGAAATTCAGTACCAGAACTTGAGTGAATCTGTCTTTGTGAGGGGACTTACGGACTTAATTCGCCTGAGTTTTTCCTTCCATCACTTTCTTCGAACTACAGTACTGTATTTAAAAAGTTTTTGCTGATGGAAATTGGGTTATTAAAAGTTTGCCTCTACAAACAGATGCATCTCTAAAACCGATTCACTCACGAGTAGATGGAATTCCTCGCGAGAAACTTGCTGGAAATAGTTCTTTGACTAATCGTAAAAAGGAAGTAATTACCCGAATGAATGTGTAATGGCATGGACTTGCATGGCAGAGGTAGGTCTTGAGCATTCATTGTGCAAGGAATTCCGTATCGAAGAATTTTCTTCGTGTTCGCAACTCGACATTCTTCTGTCTTAATTGACGAAAAATCTATGAATTCGTGACCATTCCGAACCACAGGAATGTTTTCCATACGGTAGAGCACTTTCATAGTCCTCGTCATGAACGAAACAATGTTGAGGTTGGTCCTTCGATCCGAGGTTCACGGTATGTGACCAGAAAAGCGACCAGACGAACGCAGCTGGGATAAAAGTAGCCATGGCTAATTGTTTTCCTTTAATTTGTGAAAATTGTTTTCATTCAAAAATTACTTTATCGTGGTTTGTGTGGGCAACTTTTGGTTTAAGATTGCTTATCGCTAGGTTACGTACGTTATCGCGTTTATTTTTTTCTGAGTGATTTTATTCTTTTTTGCTTTGGTGTTTTTAAACTATAAAAGTTCAATTATATATCTTTGTGACTTGGTAAAGTTGAAGAGAAGGTAACACGTTGGTATCGTAATTATTCCGTTTATACGCCCCACATTCTGTGCAGAAAATTATCCTGAAAAAAGCAGGTCCTGCCAATTCAGAAAAGTTCTCTGAAAAACTCGAATTTGGGATATCTAATATACTTGCCAGAAAAATCTCAGAACTCCAGTATTTGATGATTTTCCTGCCCAGACAAAATAACAGTCACAATTATTCTACTTATTCTCAAGACCAAGTGGAATCAAAAAACTGCAATTCTGCTATTAGCTGACTGTACGCCTCCCACCCAAAAATCTCACATTAATTATGCAGGTTTTTCATCACCGACGCAGAAATTTACTACATTTTTGTACATTAGAACCTCTTCCGAGTCAAATATTAAGGGAGAAGTAAAAAAAATCGATTTGCTTAGGAAAGTTAGGAAACAAGCATTTTTGTTGGAGAGAAAAAAAAGAAGGAAATAGTAATTTAAGATACTCTGAGATTTAAATTGCTTTTTGGATGAGTTTACAGGGTGCTGAAATTGGGGGACAGGGTTCATTTGCCCAAATATTCTTTCACTTCCTTCCAGAAGACATCAAGTTATATTTTGATTTTTTTTTTCCTTTGTCAATAAAATAATAGCCGAAAGAACTCGGGAAAATTCGAGAAAAGAAGGCTTTTGAGGGTTAACTGCTCCGAGTTGTGAAGGTTTTTAATCCATTGTTCTCAAGGGTATTCAAACCAGGACTCCAGAAAAATTCGACATGGGGGATGCGTTCGACTTGTGGAGGTTCTAGTTGTCGAGGTTCAACTATTTAATTTGAAGAATTATTCGTCGAAGAAATCATCATTTTTTTGTATGAATGTGTGTGTGTTCATGCCGCATTACCCAATTGATTTGCGGCCCATCCAATAGTGAGTGTCCCGTATGAAATTATTGCTAAAAATCTGGGTGCGGCCCTTCAGTTACATGAATATTATGCGTGCGTATAACTTCGCCTATGTTCCATGTGGAAAATTGAAAAGCGGAGAAAATAAAATTTGGAAAAAAAAAATGGAGCCTCAGGGAAGTTGAACCACTCCTCCCGGCTTCGTTTGCCCGTTCACTCATGCGTCTTCCTAGAAATACCCAGCAGCAGCCGCAGTAGGAAAATGAGGAGTCCAGGCGATTGAGGGTCTAGGGAAGTATGACGAACGATTTTTCTTTTCAACGACACCCACGCGACGGGCGTGTAACACGCATACACTCCTCGTATTCCCTACCGGAAGTTTGTTCAAGAACACCCTGGTCTTGTACGTGTGCTTCCAAGGTGACAGAGGGGGGCTGAAGTAGAAGGAAAATGAGAAGAAGAAGAAGAAGAAAGTCGTTTTCTGCGCTGGACCAGCCACGTGGCATGAGGGTTGCGTCATGCGAACTCGACGCCCACTTGCCCATCTCAAAGTCAGGATTGATTGAACTCTTCACCTTTTTCTTTCGACGGCCGGGGCGAGGCTGAGAAAATGGTTTGAGTCATGCTTCTGAGATTTCACCACTGTGCTGTGAAGACTTCTTTTTCATTTTATATTTAAACAAAATTAACTCGAATATTTCTGCCGTGAGAATGAGTTATACATTGCCCATCCCATTTGTTCATGACGATTTTGAAATGGAATGTCACAGGAAGGTGTTTTTTTTTCTTGAGGAAGGAGCACAGGTTCTGCGAAGTTCATTCGAACTTGTGTTGATTTTCAATCAATATACCTGTCGCTAGAGTGGATTGCGTCAATCCATGGCATCATGAAAAAGCATAATTATTTTAAAATATTTTCAAGACATTCGCATATACTGTACTGTATTGTATTTTAGAGTAAATATCCGAAAGTCTCTGTGAATTCATTTCTACTCCTTATTCATTTTTGTATCGAATATGACAGCTGCCAAAAGGCATACAGTGAATGAGGCTTTCAAGATCCGCATTTTCTCAAATAGAAGAGAAATTAGCTGACATGAATTATTTCGAAGGTCTTTTTGTTACGGTATCAAAAATCGCTGATGTGAGAGAGGGGTCCGATTCTGTTAGCTTACCTTGATTTTTGAATGAATAATTTACAACTGTATTTTAATTCAGATCGAAGAAAGAAGCAGATGACGAGAATTCCCCGAAAGTTCGTGTCTGGATTGAGCAAATTTTAAGAGTAAGAAAATCTTAAATTTCACCTATTTCACTGCGAAAAAAAACGAAGGATATGGATGACCTAACGCTTCCGGCTTCGAAGGTTTAAAGCCCTTCGAGCAAATAATGATCTCAATTCTTAGAACTTGTGCTAAAATTGGAATAGCTAGTTGGTGGTGAGTCTTCCGGTTTCCTGCGAAGAAAAGCAGTTACTGTTAAATGCATGCGTATAAAATCTTCTGTTGACAAATTTTGTGAAACGATTCTTCAGCTAAAAAGATCATGAAGGGTTTCTGAAGTAAGTTCTGAGGGTCGACATTCAGTACAATAACTTGAGTGAATCTGTCTTTGTGAGGGGACTTACGGAATTAATTCGACTGAGTATTGCAGATTTTAAACTGCATTAAAAATATTCCAGATGCAAGAGACATCTGAGTGCTGAGGCAGTTACCCAGCCTCCAAGGGGATTTAATTTTAAAAGT